AGAAAATGGTAAGTACTGAGACAATCAAAATATAAACTTTAAAAATACTCTGTTTAACTCTAATAAATTTTAATTTCCTAATGAAAAACTTAATAAAAAATTATATCACACAAAACTGACTATAACTTGAATTTAAAAAAAAACATCTTATACAACAAAACTACCTTTTTTGAGGCAAACAAAACTACCTACTTTGTTAAGCAGAATTTTTTTTTTTTAATTTTATTACATTTTGGAACAATAGTAAAAAGATCACTACTTACACCACTAAGCAACAAAATAAATTTAATTAATTTATTGGAAACTTTTTGAGAACAACTTATTTATTTCTATTTAAAAGAATACAATTGATTTTATCATGCAGAATGAACTACCCAGCAGACATTTTTGTAGTGGACCAATATAGTGGCTCATCGGATACTTAGTGAGTCATTAGTGGCAGTCGCCAAAATTGAGTTGGAAAGTTATAAGCGGCCATCCAATAACTTCCCAACTCACAACTTTTGGCGGCTGCCACTAATGGCCCACTAAGTATCCAATAAGCAAAACTACAGGGGACCGCTCAAAATGTCTAAACAGGTCCACTAAAATTCCGCTATAGAGTTGTTTACTTTTAATGTGAATGTCTTGTTCAAGTAAAAAGTATTCATTAGAAAAACTTTATCTTAATTGAAGTGTATATAGATATTGAAAATTGATGTTAATTATTTCAACTCTTTAGCATTAGAATAAATATTTAATTAAAAAAATTAGTATTTCGAAAGATAAATTTTAAAGTTCTGTTTTGTTAGCTGTTAAAACTAAAACTTTTGTTCTTGCATACCGTAACTTAGGGTAACTTTGCACAAACGTGGGTAACATTGCACAACCCAAGTCAAAGATATTTTACTCTCTAGCAGTTAAAAATTTGAATTACAACTTAAAAACACTTTTGAAGTCAGCTTTATATTCTAGTTTTAATTCGAAAATAGTGTAAAATAGTCATTTTAACAAAATTTCTTTCTACACAAGTAACTTTACTTAAACATAGAAAAGAGCCACGCAAATAATTTCTTGCAACTTTTATCTGTTAACCACATCAGAATTAGACCCCAAGGTGAGTAAATGGCATAAAATACTCATCATAATATTAGTTTGAATTATTCTGTTTTAAAGCAATTGTTAGTATAGATGATTAAATAATACTACTTTTGTAAATAAACTACTATTTTGGACTAAATTGGGACAACTTTGCACAATGTGCAAAATAACCACAACTGTCTTTAATCATCTAAAAACAATACTTTTTAAAAAATATTGTATAAATAAGCATAGTTATTACATAAATTTTTATTGTTTTTATTAATTTTAATTGCAAATTAGTAATAACATTCATGTTTTTTCTAGATGTCAAGTTGTTACAAAGCCAGAAAATATAAAAACTATACAAATAATGACTTACCCAAATGTCTTTAAGAGGCTAAATGTAAAAAGCTGACACAAAAGCAAGCTGCTGCTAAATATGGCATCAGTCGAAGAACGATTTGTTACAAATTAAAAGGAAAACACAACTTAAAACCTGGTAAACCATACTTCTCTTTCAAAAGAGGAGGCTGCTTTGGTGTAGTGTACCATTCAATTAAGTGATTTTGGATCTCCGATTGGTAAAGAAGATTTACGTCATATTATGAATAATTATCTAATTAGTTCAGGAAAAAAAGTAAAAGAGTCTAAAATCTTTCCTGGGCCTGATTTAGTTAATTCATTTTTACAAAGACATCCACACCTTACAAGTAAATTTGCGCCAAACTTAAAAAAATCTCGAGCAATGTTTAATGAAGAAATTTTAAAGGATTATATTCAGCAATTATCAACAACTGTTCAAAATGCACAACCAAGCAACATATATAATTACGATGAAACAAATTTGAATGATGATCCAGGGTCAAAAAAATGCTTGGTAAAAAGAGGTAATAAATATCCAGCAAATATAAAAAACACTTCAAAGACAAGTACTTCTATTATGATATCAGTTTATAAAGCTGTAAATCTGTGGTCAACTTGTTGTGTAGGAGGTCCTAAAGGAGTCAGATATTTCAACACTAAAAGTGGTTGGTTTGACGGAGCAGCTTTTGACGAGTGGTTTTTTTCTATACTTTTACCTTCTTTAAAAAAAAAAATCAGGAGTTAAGGTTTTGCTAGGCGATCTAATGCTCTTATATCTCTCCAAAAAAAAAATCAATGCTTGTGAACAAAATGAAATACTGTTTGTTTGCCTGCCACCTAATAGCACGCATGTAACTCAACCTCTAGATGTGGCTTTCTTTAAACCTTTAAAAACAGCTTGACGTAAAATTATAACAGAGTACAAAGATTCTCCTGCTGGCTGCACAAAAATAATTCTTAAAAAAATAACATTTTCCAGAACTTTTAAACAAGTTAATAACTGCTATAGAACCAAATCAGGCTAACAACTTAAAATCAGGTTTTAGAAAGTGTGGTATTCATCCAGTAAATGTCAATCAACTTCTCACACAATTTAGAGAGAGAGAATCGTACGATAAAGAATTTCTAGAAGACAGCTTTAAGATTTTTTTAACTCGTTTAAGAGAGTTGTAGTTACATTGTTGGATAAAATCTTGAGAAAAGTTTTTTAAGACAATTTTGTTCCATAAGAATGGTCCGCGAGAAGTAATGCAGAATTTATTACAATTTTATTTGGTATAATATCGTTTTACATAAAATAAAAAGAACACGGAAACTCGAAGAGGATGGCAAGATCCTGTCAACGAGAACCGTTTAACAATGCGATACAAAATAAATAAAAACAAAATACCGATATTTACAATACAAGATTTTTAATAAGCCAAAACCAAACATAAAATACCGTTAAAAAATGTCAAAATATGTAATAAAACTAAATATTTAAATAAAATATTCAAAAAAACTCGAAGATGTTATCAATTGTCAAGATAAATTTTTTCAGTTTTTTTTTTGAAAGTAAGAAAACTACGATTTTTAGAAAAATCAAAGTTTTTTAACACTATTTGGTTCCGCAGAAAAGCTCCGCGATATGATATAAGAGATCTTCCAAAATTTGTGTGCGAATAATATTGATGAATAAGATTGTTATTTCTTAATTCATATTTGTTTCTTGTCTTTATTGCAAATAAATTTTGAAAAAATATTGGGGTTAAGTTTATCTTACATTTGTACATAAAGCATATTGGCTCAAAGCTTGCAAACAAAAAAAAAAAAAACTGAACAAAAAAACGAAGAGCATAAAGATCCAAAAGAGTGCCATGATCACAGTTCTAGCTCAAAATCATTGAGTAGCATTGAAAATAAACTTGTCGAGAAAAAGAATAAGAATGAGAAGCCAAACATAGAAAATTTGAGACATGTGAACTTTTTCCTCGACAAATTACAAATGTTAAGGAAAACAGTGCTTATGTAAAGCCAATGATAAAAATATTAAATGATTGTCTAACACGCAAGAAGATTTTTATGAATGGGACAATATTTGTTTCACATCTAGGAGTCTTTATTTTATAAACTTTAAGTACCTATATTAGACTTTTCATTTTTATTGAAGTTTGTTTATTTAACTTTTATGTTTTATTTTAAAGATGTATAATTGTCTACATTAAAGGAAATTTTGTGTTTTTAATTTTTAATGTGGCTATGTTTCTTTTATTATGTTAAATTTTTTATTTACCAAAACAATAGTAAATCTGATTTTATTGTTTTATTATTATTTGTCTTTAAACTCCTTTAAATTTTCTTTAAACAGTATAATAGAAAGAGTTTAAATAGCAAAATTCATATAAACGGCAAAGTTTTTTTCAAACTTTAGTAGGCTGTGCAAAGTTAGCCAAAACCCCGGTTAACTTAGGACAAAATTTAGATACCCATGAAAAATCTTTCTTTAATGGTTAAAAAAATAAATTCTCATAATAACGGTTTTTAAATAGACTAAATAAAATTTTTGGGAAGTTTTTATAAATACTAGAGACGTTTTTAGAAACACAAAGCAAAAAATTTCAACTTTTTGCGCAAAGTTACCTAATGTTTACCTAATGTTATATGTAAGTAGGGTTGTCAGACATCCGGCTTTTACGGAGGAGAATAAAGCGCCAAAACTGTAAAAACAAACTTTTTACTGTTGTTCTCCTTCGTAAAAGCCGGATATCTGGCAACCCTATATGTAAGTCGACCTCTAAATAAATCGTTGCGCTGGTTTGACAAGGTTTTAATTGAAATCTTTTTATATTAGGAGAATTTATAAAAAAAATTTTTAACTTTTTCTGAATGTTTTGATTAAAAATATTTATATTATCTTTTGAATTTGTTTATATATTCTTTTTTTAGATGGTGTATAAAAATACATAAATAAACAAAAAATAGTCATACAAATATTTTTATTTAGAAATTGAGAAAAAAGGAAAAAAAAGATTTATTTTCTATTCTCCTAATTATAAAAACAATTAGTTCGAACCTTATCAAACCAACGCGACAAAATGTTGCTATCTTTAAATAGTCCGTAAATCTAACTGATTTTCCAAATGTTTGACTTTTCCGCTTGTCATTGAATATTAACAAGAACTTTCTTAAACTTTTATAAAATGCAATCATATTATTTAACCTCATATTAGTTGCCTAAAAATGCTTCAAATACAGGTGATAACTTCCTGTAATTTCCTGAAAAGAGGGAATGATTTTAATGGATGCATTAGATGCAATAAATTCAAATGCAAAATCTTTTTTGAAAGTCGAGAGCTGTAATAGAAGAACTTTATTATTTTTGTTTCAGATTGAGTTGATTCAACCACCTTGATTCAACCACCTCTGATTCAACCACCTTGGTTGAACCAGACAATTGAACCTGAAACAACAACAAAAAAATATTCCAAGCTATATAAGATGAAATAGAACATATAGAACATTTGGAAGGTTGTAACTACTACCTAAATCGTCATTACAAAAGCTGTAACCTGGAGTTAAGAAATACATAAAGAAGATTCTAAACAATAACGTATTTATTATTATTTTGTGTCATGCGCCTTTTGGAAGTTTGTACATTCCTCCTACATATGTAAGTTCTCCATCGTTAATTTTCGAGCATAGAAAAGCTTTTACTTCCTCTAAAGAACAGTGAGATGATGATTCACCGTGAGTTGCGAACATTTTTAGCATAGAATGAATTCGTTCTAATGGAAGGCTACCTATATTTGTTAACATCCCCACAACGTAGGACCAATAGACCTAAAAAACAACAAAAAGAATTATATAGTATTTGCTATTTATTTTAGTTCGCTACATAGTTCATTTAATAGCTTACATGTAACTACATAGTTCATTTAATAGCTTACATGTAACTACATAGTTCATTTAATAGCTTACATGTAACTACATAGTTCATTTAATAGCTTACATGTAACTACATAGTTCATTTAATAGCTTACATGTAACTACATAGTTCATTTAATAGCTTACATGTAACTACATAGTTCATTTAATAGCTTACATGTAACTACATAGTTCATTTAATAGCTTACATGTAACTACATAGTTCATTTAATAGCTTACATGTAACTAAATAGTTCATTTAATAGCTTACATGTAACTACATAGTTCATTTAATAGCTTACATGTAACTACATAGTTCATTTAATAGCTTACATGTAACTACATAGTTCATTTAATAGCTTACATGTAATTACATAGTTCATTTAATAGCTTACATGTAACTACATAGTTCATTTAATAGCTTACATGTAACTACATAGTTCATTTAATAGCTTACATGTAACTACATAGTTCATTTAATAGCTTACATGTAACTCTTCTTCTTTCTGATTCTGAGAAAAAGCAACATTTTCTTCTTCTGAATCGTATAAAGTTGTATCTGTAAAACAATAAATATATTGAAAAACTAAAAATTTTGAAATAGTTAACTCATCAAATGTAACTCGAAAACTAAAAATTTTGAAATAGTTAACTCATCAAAGTTAACTCGAAAACTAAAAATTTTGAAATAGTTAACTCATCAAAGTTAACTCGAAAACTAAAAATCTTGAAATAGTTAACTCATCAAAGTTAACTCAAAAACTAAAAATTTTGAAATAGTTAACTCATCAAAGTTAACTCGAACTTCCCAATTTATTTTTCATTCGATACTTAGAACTTCAGTAACAGACTTAGTGACAAACTTGTTACTAACGTTTAAAATAATTGAAATTTATTGTTTTTAGTTTTGTGCATTTAAATCAAATACTCTAAATTTTGCTACTCTGAAATAATATTCAGCTATTCTTTACTCCAGGATACCGTTTACATTTTCTCTACTAAAACCAATCGTTTTAAATTTAAAATTAGATTTGTTATATTACAGGTGGCTTTCTTAAATTATACGCGATTTTCCAATACGTAATATTTAAAATTTTTTGCATTGAAACCGAAATTCGTTTCTCTACTAAAATAACTACAATAAAATTCTCTACTGAAATTTATACTCATGATACATTTATACAATGTATCGCACACAATGTATTTTTTGCATTATTTTATATATTGCAGATGTATTGCATATTTAAAAACATCTGTACGATTTATATATAACATTTACATTTTTGCTTCATTAATAATAAACTAATAAATAGACTTTCATAAAAAGGCTGAAAAGAGAGTTTCATAAAGAGGCTGAGAAGAGAGTTACCATTACCAAAATTGACACTGAATTACAAGAGTTAACATTACCAAAATTGACATAGAGTGTTACTTTGAAAGAAAAGATTTTTTAGAACACAAATTAGCATGAGTAATCTTACTAATTCTGAAAAAATTGCATTACAGGGCTGTGGAGTTAGAGTCGTGGAGTCGGAGTTGCGACATTTTTAGAGTCAGAGTTGCTAAACAAAATCGCGACTCTCCAATAGTAAAACTTCTAGGTATTGCACGTGCATGTACAAAATATTTAACATTCAAAGGACTTTTCATATATTTGGCACAAAAAAAAAAATTTTAATTATCGCGTAATATTTTTTTAAGAATTCAAAGAACTTTTCAAAAATTTTGCTTTGAGTGAGTCGGAGTTGGAGTCAGACTCAAATTTTAACGATTGGAGTCGGTACTTTTTTTTTACGACTCCAAACCCTTGGTGCATTAGATGGAGGCGGAGAGACTAGGGCTATTGCTCTTGGCGTATCTAAGGCTTTCAGCAAAGTTTGGTAAGCCGGTCTCCTCCATAAGCTTGCTTCATATGGCATATCTGGGAAAGTTTTTGAGATTATCAAATCGCTTCTTACTAACCGCTTTATTCAAGTCATCCTCAAAAGCCAACACTCTTCTTTATTTCCAGAATCTTCTGGGGTACCTCAAAGTTCGATCATAGGTCTTGTTTTATTTCTTATTTACATTAATGATCTTCCAGACAACCTTACATCTAATGTAGTTCTTTTTGTTGATGACTCAACTTTATACTCCCGTCTTGACAAAATGTCTTCTCTTTTTAATCGCTTAGAATAAAAAGCTGATCTTGAATCTGATCTCACTTCTGCAACACAGTGGCTTGTAAATTTTAACTCCAACAAAACCCAGTTATTTACTGCAAACAACTATCACAATATTGTCGACATTCCTATATTAATGAATGGCAACCGTCTAAGTCCTTTTCTTTATCTCTTTTTTGAATATTGTTTGCTGCTGACCATGGAAACTATATATACAATCGATTGCTAAATTAGCATCCGCTAAGGTTGCCTCTTTTTATCGCGCTTGCCATTTTCTTACTCCTGATTCAATTCTCTACTTCTAAAAATCTCTTATTCGTCCCTGTATGAAATAATGTTGTCATATTTGGGGTGGTTCTTTTAATGATGCTCTAGACAAAGTCCAAAAACGCATTGTAAACGTAGTTGGACCCGCTCTATCTGCTAAGTCTTAGACTTTTTCCCATCGTCTTTAAGTTGCATCTCTTTTTTTTTTCTACAAATAATATCAAGGTTTGCTGCTCAAAAGAGCTATTATCTCTAGTTCCATCAACTAAAACTCATTCTCACTTGACTCGTCATTCAGCTAAGTCTCATTCTTTTACTGTATTTGTCCCTGCATCCTCTAAAAAAATTTATTCGTCTAGTTTTTTCCCTCGCACTTCAACCCTTTGAAACTCTGTCCCATCTTCATGTTTTCCTGACTCATACAACTTTCAACTTTTCAAGTCTTCTGTCAACTGTTTCTTTGCGTTATAACTCTATTATTTTTTCTATTAATTCCCAACTTAATAGAACCAGAGTTATTAACTGAATCAGACATAAAAAAAAAATAAAAATAAAGATTTTTTTAAAATAACTCTTAATTTACTCTTATGTGCTTTATACAAATTGTGGGGATAAAGTAAGGAATTATCCCTCCCACTGAGTTCAAACACTCCTTTAATCCCCCACTCGCCCATTCTTCCCATTATTTAATTTTTAAATTTTCATACATTCAACAGCAAAATATGTTAATCTTTTTTTAGATATTCTAACCATCGCGAACATTATTAAGGCTAAATTACATAAATTACTCTTTACCGTTTCGTTTCTTTCGTTTTTAAAATGTCCTAAGTTTAAAATAGAAAAAAAAACTCAGCTTTTAACTAGTTATTACATGCACAAATTTGATTTCATAACTGTTTGAAACTAACAGAACTCGTTGAGCTTAAATTAAATTCTTTGTTTCATTTGTTAACGTAAAATTTTGATAATCTTGTATCTATGAAAAATAATTGATAAAATTTACAATTTACTTTATCCCTGAATAAATGTTTCTAAAGATTTTATTTAAAATCATAAGTCAAGTCAAACTAGAACCTGTCATTTTCATTATCATTATACTTCTAAATCTATTCTCCATCTTCAAATAAATCCCTTACTCATCATCATCATAGTGGTAGAGCTCATAAACGAGTGGTTCCGAGTTCGATCCCCACCACGTCCCTGGTAGTACCGCGCTCAACTCGTTTCTCCGCGCAGCGGCCTTGCTCGTCAAGGTTCGTGTTTCGGAGTTATAGAGTTGAGAGAGGGTTATAACCACAAATAAGTAGCCTCCTCGTCTGTAGTGGCCTTCTCGGCCTTGAGGAGGTGAATTAAAATTGAAAAAAAAAAAAAAAAAATGTAATTGCCATATTTAACTGGCTCACATGCAATACAAGCCTCCTGCATTATTTTGGAATAAAGCATAAGAAAAAATCTTTAAATTAAAACAATGCAAATTCGTTTCATTTTTTAACTAGTACTTGTTGATGATTTAATAAGATTACAAGAGCTGCATTACCTTCAACGTATATTTATTATTATTTTATTTGTTCATAAACTAAACAAGTTTACAATCTCACCAAACGCCTATTTCTAAAGGTGTTATACACAATCTATGATTTATTCTACCTCTATTTATTAAAAACACAAAACAAAACAAAATCATTATTACAAATAAATTATTTCTAAATATAAATATAAATCTTTTCTTTACAAATATTTGTGGTCTGCAAAGCAACTTTGCTCTACTTAATTGTACTTTTTGCAAAATCACAAGACCTCTTGAACATTTTTGATCATTCTTTTGAAGACTACTTTACATTGCTGAAACTTAAATTGATCTTTGGACCTAAATATTGATGGCTATCCTATGATTCACAAAATCTCCAATAATCACATGCTCAGTCTGGACATATACTTACATATAACACAATTATTGTTCAATAAGGATATATAGTGTAACAAATGCATACTTTTTCCTATTTGTTTGAACAGTATTAAACAGGTTTGAAACTATTTTCTTATGTTCTTTTGTTTAACACTTCTAAACTCAATTAATTTTTGTTTTAAATTTTTTTTAAACAATAATTTTGATCTAAAAAACAATTTTTGTTTAAATCTCAATTAATGTTTAATTATCCCTTAATTAAACTTAGCACATAAAATCAATAAATAAAAAATTAATCTCTTACTCAAGTGGTAAACTTTATGACTTGTTTTTTTTAAACAAACCTAATATTCACTCCTAAATTTGTGAATTAAAATCTGATTCTAGCATGTGTTCAGTTTCTCTTTGTTCTATTTAATTGATTTGAACCATGGTATGACTCCGCAAAAATATTTCTTGCACAGCTACATCAGATTCATCACACTTATTACTACTTTATAGCTGACTGGAACTTTTTTATAGTTTATGCGATAGTTTACAGACTGATTTCTTTTCTGCCTCTACCAAAAAATTGAACCATGTTTACAATCTTCCGGCATGGAAGCATTAGTTCCTACTAGTCAGTTTGACTCTACACAATCTTCTTTATGCTACTTTTAATCACAACTTTTTTCTTCACCTTTACCATAAAATCACACGCACACATATAAAGGTATTAGGGTAATATATAGAACAGCGCTATATATATATACATATATATATATATATATATATATATATATATATATATATATATATATATATATATATATATATATATATATATATATATATATATATATATAGACACACACACACACACACACACACACACACACACACAAACACACACACACAGATATATATATATATATATATATATATATATATATATATATATATATATATATATATATATACATAATTCACACACACATACATATATATGGTTTAAAATTAGGTCAAAATTTTCAGCAGTCTAGAGTAGAAGCTTATTAGTTGACAGGGGGCAGACCCGTATTTTATGTATGAGACATTTTATTTTAAAGTTCAAGGATAGCGCACTCAGGTATACATATGTATCATGTTGATACAAGCATATGTACATATGCATTATGTTGATTCATGCATGTATACATTTGTATCATATTGATATATGCAGATATACATAAAAGAAAGAGTAGATACTTTTAAATAATTTTCAACCTTTTTGGTTTTGTGATTGAAAGCAGCTTGCTGTAACATAAACATCATTTGGTTTCTCGACTATTACTCCTTGACCTACCCAAAATGATATTCTATTACGTAATGAAGTTTTGTTCACTGAAGTCTCTCGTGATAACTCAGATAAAGTCCATTCATCTTTAAACATGAAAATAAATTTAAAAAAACATAAATTAATCTAAAAAATAGGAATTAATAAAGAAAAATTTAAAATGTTAGAAGATGTAACCTGAGCAGTATAACACTGATACAAAGAAATGAATAGAAAAAAAAAGTAGAAACCTTTCATTTAAAATATTATTTGAGTGTTGATATCCTAAACGTTAATGGCCTGGAAAGAAATTATTAACAAATATTAACAGATGAATAGAACAAAAGATTAATATAAACAACCTTTTTTTTGGAATGTTAATAAAAGTGTAGCCTGGGCAGGAGTTACATTAAAATTTTTAACTCCATCTTGAAGTTCAACTTCTAGTTCAACACTTCCAAGATTATTTATCCAATCAAGAGTTCTCATTCCTTTTAACTGTTTAAATGATTCTGTGTAGTTGGTCATTAAACTAAAAAAAAACAACTTAAGTTTACAATTATTGACATACAACAAATTATCAAAATATTAGATATAATCAAATGTAATTAAACTTGCAAGTGTTATATATTATGTATATTAAACTGTTAAATTGTTATATGTTATATATAATATATATTAAATTGTAAGAAAAAACAGGTATAGGTAATACAGTTATGAACAAAAAGACTAAACTCAAAATTTCATGAAAAGCCCAATATCATTGCATTTTTAATACCCATGATCAGTCCAAAATTCAAATATTTTGTTCTGGGACAGAAACTTGGTTGCAACTTTGGAATGGCAGCATGACGCTCTATCTTTGGTGAAATTTTCCTTTGAAGATTGAGCCGTCTGACTAAAACTTGACATACTTTGGTCTATTCATAGTGGTTCCTGGGTCAAAAAGACCACTGACCCATTCTTAGACATTGCTCTTCCCCTAAATCATCCTGACTTGGGGGATGTTTTATCATAAACATTATATATTTATTGTCAAATTGCTTACTAGATGGTCTCCTGGGGTAGCCCTCACATTCTACAAACTGATGTTGCCCCAGTGACAATATTCCCATGCAAATGTCAGGCACTTAGATTTTATGACAGGCTGAAGTCTTGCTTTTTTAGCTGGTTTGTAGAATTTCAAGTTAAACTCTTTTGATAAACAATGAAGAACTATCACTTTGCATCATCTCCACAGCAGTTCAGCCCAGACTTTCCTCATAGAACTAGTTGGAGAACAGACAACAATCTTTTTCACCAAAATGTTATTGTACCTGGTGTTTCTTTTAGGGATTCCATTTCTCTTCAAATTTGAAAAGTTTTCTAATTTCACTTGATGATCACTTGATGCATGACTGAATTGCGGACTCTCAATTTTTTTTGCAAATACTGCGTTCTTTCAACTTTTGACCAAATAGAGCTTAAAGTTGGATCTCATAAATAGCTCCGAGGGTCTTTTTTTCTCTTCATATCACCTATTTCCTAAAAATTAATGAAAGGTTAGAATGAGGCGGTCAGCAGCTTAAAAACCTTTCAAAAGAACAATTAAAATAAAAACTGTTGACATAATGCAATCAGGAATGGCAGATCCAATCTAATGGAACACCCCAATTTTTGGGGTTTGGTTTTATACTTTTGTTTATGACTAAATATTAAATTTTTGGAAGAAAAGACACAAATAAAAACTATTAATTTTTTAAGTCTCAATTAACTGGAGGTTTAAGACCTTTACTCATAAATGATTGAAGTTTTTATTTTACAACCACAAATAGTTCTTTTTTCACAACCTGCTTCATGTCCTGCTGCCTTGTAGGATAGCCTTTTAGGCAAGGGCTAGGAGAAGCTAACTCTGATTTAAAACACCCCTATCTTGGTTGAGTAAAGGCTAGAGATGGTGTCTTGATAAAAATACTCATCTTAGGCAGACGTTAAATGCATCCGGCTACTGTCTTGTAGATCACCTCTTAGGCAAAGATTTAAGAAGTAAACAGATTCTCTCTGATGACAAACCTCGCACAACTTCTTGATTTATTAGACTGGCGCAGATGTTTTTGTAATACATTGTCTCTAATTTAGGATGTTAAATGCTGGATCTTCTGGACTCAATGAATGGTTTTGTTTGTGTCTCTATTTTTAAAACTAGGCAACTCATTCTATTCTATCCTAATGAGGGTACAGCTCTAAAACTCAGTTTTATGGTTCTGAAGCCAGCTGGTAGTCAGGTTTCCCGAACTCTTTGGTAGCTCTCAGAGAGGCTGATTTATCAATAGCTGTAAAATATCAAAGTACTATTAGTGGCATGTTGTACATAGATAGTGTCCATGCACATACTTTTAGTGTACATTGTCAAGGCCACATTTGGAGCTCTTTGTTATGACACAGGGTTTATTTAATAGTAATGAAGAAATTGCTTGGACTATTAAATAGTGCACTGAGTACTATTTGTGCTTTGGGTCAAATTAGAACTATAAAACACAAAAAACCATTGTCATCACCAAGTTCTCGAAACCATTATTATCATTCACTAATATTTGTGGTCTTCAAAGTAACTTTTTTTCTGTTAAGTCTTATTTTTTTTAAAGTTCAGTTCAGACGTACTTACTCTTTGTGAGACTAATTAGAGTTCAGCTGTCTCATTGTGATCTTAGTGTTGATGGTTATCTTCCTTTAATTTGAAAAGATTAACAATAGTCACATGCTTGGCCTGGGCATTTACATTTGTAAGAACTCACTCATTTGTTAGGAAACTAGATTTGAATCCATAAATTTTATGTGCTTTGGTTATGTTTTGTTATTTTGTTATGTGCACCACCTCACTCTAACACTTTTTTTTTTTGTTCTTCATCGCTATCCTTCATCTCAAGACTGCACTCTTTTTGGTGTTATTTCTGACCAAACCCTTTCTCTTTATCATTCAGCAAATATCGTTGTTGTTGGTGACTTCAATGCTCATTGTGACTCTGCAGGTGTTAAGGCTCACAAATTTTCTTAATCCTTTCTTAATCTTTAACTCAAATAGTCAACTTTCAAACTAATTTTCCATTGTACCTCTTACAACTACCTCTAAGTTGGCTAAGACTCTTTCCGTGTTTTTCTTCATGATGGCCCTTGGGTAGATCTCTTTTGTCTTCCTGCTGACAAATGTGCTGCTTATGCAACTTCTTAGATTCAGGCTGGCATGGAATCATTTATTTCCTCTCAATTATTCCAACTCAAACCTCACTCTTCTCCATGGTTTTTCTCTAATTGAGCTCCTGCAATTTCCAATTGTAATCATTGATCCTAAATCTATCGCCAAAACAATTCTCTAGAAAATAGATGGTCTGTTAACTGTTGTAAGAAACTATTGTAAAAAGGTTTTGTCTAACACCAAAGCCCACTATTCTCAGGTCACAAAATCTCTTATTTCATCTAAAAAATCAGGCTCCAGAAACCTCTGGAGAATCTTTAACAATGTCAATAATAAGAGCAAGCCTGTTGTTTCTAAAGACAAAGCAGAATTGTTTGCTAAGAACTTCTCATCAATCTCATCACTTGACTCCACTAACCACACCCTACCTGATATAGCCAACAAACAGGTTGATCCATTGCTTAACATTCGTATCACTCTAGTTTCTGTATGTAAAGTGATTTCCTTCTTAGACTCTTCTACAGCTTGTGGTACAGACAACATACCTGCTATAGTCTTACAGAAGTGTTCTCCGGAGCTGTCATCTATACTTTCAAAACTATTTTACAAGTGCTTATCAGAGTCTTGTTTTCCAGCCTGCTAGAAAGCAGCTGTTATCTGTTATCCCTATTTAAAAAAAATTCTAGAGAGCAATCTGACTTGTTTAACTTCCATCTCATTAGTTTTCTTCCTAAGCAAGATTTTTGATTGATACTTTAATTAACAAACACTTAATTTCTCATCTTGAATCTAATAACTTTCTGAACATCAATATACATTTTTAACCTTCTTGTTCTACTGCTAATTTGTTAGCAGTAATAACCATAGGTTTTATCATGCATTAGATAGATGTGGAGAGGTTAAGGCAGTTGCTCTCAACATTACTAAAGCATTAGATAAAGTTCGGCATGATGGTCTTCTCCATAAACTCTATTCTTATGGTGTATCAGGTAACTAAATCTTTCTTTACCTATTGCAGTATAAAAGTTGTCTTTGATGGACAACACTCATCTTCATTTCCTGTAACTTCAGGGGTTCCTCAAGACTCTATCCTTAGCCCCATACTTTTTTTGATTTACTTAAAAAAAGTATGGGGCTAATTTAATCAAAAATAAATATCAATCTCCCAGAAATTCTCACATCTAAGGTGGCATTGTTTGATGAAACTACCATTTAATTTTGTCTTGTTAAGAAGCCCACACTCTTTGATTGCTTGAAGGGAGCATTGAAAAAGTTTGAAAAGGATCTTACTTCTGCTACAGTTTGGGGCTCTCAGTGGCTGGTGAACTTTAACTCAGATAAACTCAATTGTTTCAGCTAATCATTATCACAATAATCTAGATCTTCCTATATTTATGAACGGTAATGTACTTGAAGAGTCTTCTACTCTTTGTCTTATATGATTAACTCTTACTTCCAATTTTCTTTGCAAACCGAATGCAAGATTAACATCTGCTGAGTTGTTAATTTTGCATTTGGTTGCATCTTTTATTATGGTTGCCACTTTATTACTTCGAATTCTATTCTTTATCTCTATAAATCTCAATTCCATCATTGTATGGAATATTATTGTCATATCTGGGGCGGATTTTTCAATGACACCTCTTCTCTTTTAGACAAAGTGCAAAAATGCATTGTAAACATAGTTGGACCTGCTCTTGCAGCCAACCTTCAACCATTATCACATCGTCATAATGCTGGTTCTCTTTCTCTATTCTATTAATACTATAATGGCCACTGCTCTAAAGAGCTAGCCTCTCTTGTGCCATTAACTAAAATGTATTCTCGTGTTACTTGTCATTCAATTAAGTCTCATTATTTTTCTGTGACTGTTCCTAAGTGCTTCAAAAACTCTTATTCATCTAGTTTTTTTCCTCGAACATCAGTTCTTTTATTCATATAATTTGCAATCTTTCAAGTTGTCTGTCAATCCTTATCTTGCTCTACAATCTTCCTCTTTTCTCTTCCAGTAACTTCTAACCCTAATAGTGGTTGCTTGCAGCCTTGTTAAAAGTTGATGTTAAAAAAAAAAAAAAGTCTATGCAAGAAAAAAAATATCAAACTATTTATTTTTTATTATAAAAAATTAATAAAGGTTAAAGTTTATTATTCCATTCCTTGTCTGTTCTTTTAATATTCTATTACTCGTTCCCCTTCTTTTACTCTTCTGATTGATATTTCAGAGAGATAATGCAAAAGCACATCAGAAGAAAAAATAATCTAAAGATTCAACCTTATATAACACATACTTACAAAAATAGATGTTTGTATGTAAGTATGTGTTGAGTAAATGACATATAAAATCTTTTATAAACTAATTC